GGCTCCAGGAGCACCCAGCTGGGATACTGTCATAGTCTATTGCAGAATAAATATGGCTAGTGGTTAAAAATACAACCACTGGAATTCTTCCTGGGGGAGTCCCCCAAGTGGGAGGGGGAAGGGGGAGCTGTTTGCTTGATCCTTAGACTGATTTTCTTACTTGTTGCATCTGACTTATGTACAACTGAGAAGTTAAAAATGTCTTGCTTGCTCTGCAAGGAAAATGTTTTTACTTGCCAAAAACAATAGACCTTATATCACAAAGACCAGTGAATGCAGCTCCATCTTTCAGTCCCTGAATCACTAGGGATACTGTTTGTAAACTGAGGGATGGCCTTCGCATGACAGCCTGGTCAGGCATAATCTCTGTTTGAGCAGAGAATCACCTGGAGCGGGTTCCTAATTGTCATCTTTGATGCAACTCATACTTTTCCCATTTTTCTTTAAGTAGGAAAATATTCAACTTCTAAAAGGTGCTAGGGGCTACCATCACCATCCCTTGCTTTTTATGGCATTTAAAGTTTGCAAAATGCTTTACATACATTTCTCATTCAATCCTCACAACAAACCTGTGACGTAGATATTGATATTATCCTTATTTTACAGATGAGGAAACTGAGGCTGAGAAGGGGTTAAGCATCTTGTCCAGGGTCACATGTATAAGAAGTGGGACTTGAATTCAGGTCTTGCCGGCTACAAATCCAATGTTCTTTCCATTATACCCCAAGATCCAGACATTATTGATAATAATTAGCAAACTTAATTGCATGAAAATGGAAGACTCAGTTGTTGTTAGTAAAGTGAATACTAGACTTGGTGACAGCATCCCAAGATGGCTACCTAGTAGCAGTGTGACCCTGGAAAAGTCACTACATCCTTTCTGAGCCTTGGTTTCCCTTTCTATTTTAAAAAAAAGAACCTAAATATATCTTCCCTACCTGCAAAATTGTTATAAAGCTCAAATAAGATAATGATGGTGTCATGGCAAGAGCTTTGGATCTGAAGGTCAAGGACTTAAGCTTGAATCTTGGCTCCTTAGCACCTGAACATCCTTGTGAAGTCACTTTGCCTCAGTTTCCCCCTATGGACCACCTGAAGCTTTGTGAAAGTGCTTTGTATTTGTTAAGTATTATGAAAATAAGGAATATGAATAAGGATTGTTAGCACTGCAGGGAAGGCAGCAGTGGAAATTTCCAAGGGAGCAGGAACAGTGAAAGCGCTACCATTTCCGCCTGTGCCACAGTTGTTTGCAGATGACATATGTTGTTGTTGTTTCTGGTATTTGGGACTGGTCCCCACCAAAGTGCCTGCAGAGCATTCCCCATTGGGAAAGAACAAGGATGGTGAGTCTGGTTGCAGCAAGGTAGCACAGCTGTTTTCTTTGTGGGTCTTTGGGCATCCTAGCTCTTCTTTGTGTCTGGGTCCTGCCTCCCCTTCACAGAGGAAACACCACTTAATAACAACTCAATAACTTTTGTACCATCCACATCCTCCTAGAGGTATCCGGGAAGTTCTGTGCTGAGGGTTTCCCCAGAGTTCTTTGGGCATCTTCTTTGTGTCTGGGTCCTGCTTCCTCTTCACAAAGGAAACACAATTTAACAACACAGGACTTTTGTACCATCTAAATCCCCCCAGAGGTATCCAGGAAGTTCTGTGCTGAGGGTTTCCCCAGAGTGTCTGAGGCTGTGTTGGCAATTGCACTTGGAGACATTCATCCACGATGATTTTGTGCCCCAAGACTTCTCAGAAACCACATACCTGATGAGCATCTTCGGGGATCTTTCCCTTCCTTTGAGGCATGCCTGATAGGGGCGACGAACCTGACACATGCCCCAGAAGGAGATGGAACGAATTAGGTACGCATCTGGCTTGTCTTGGGGATCGGTCTCTCTTCAGTGTAGGTCCAGGGATGAATGACTTTCTAGATGGTTATCTTAGCCAATCAACTCTAATCAGGCCCTGCGGTGTGTTCAGGGCAGTGCTGCAGCCCTTTCCGATGGTCCAGATCCAATGTAATTGTTTGCACATTGTCAGAGCCAACAGCTGTGGGAAGTTTTTGCAAAGGCTGTAAGGATTCAAGGTCTTTGAGGCAGCTCTTTCGAATAAACAATACAAATGTTTTATTGCACGGGTCTACATGAGATTTGGAGAAGACGCTTTAAGCCCATCTGACTTTTTTCCTTCATTTTTGCTGAGGAGGATGGGGAGAGGGGGAGGGTAGTGATGGTAACTGAAGAACATAAAGGGAACATGTGTTTCTCTATTAGAAGCACAAAGCCCTTTTATCTTACTTGGAGCGGTATCTCTGGGCTGCTGCTTAAGGATTTGGATGGTACAAAAGTCCTGTGTTATTAAGTTGTGTTTAAATCTTTTCAGAAACTTGAGCCTTGAAGGCAGAAGTTCCTGAATGTTCCATACCCAACTTGGGGAGTGAAACTAGGGTCTTTTCTTTTAGGATTCCCAAGTGAGACAAAGTTCAATTGGAATTAGGGAAATCCTCTTTGTTGGGGTGGAGGAAAAAGGCTTGTCAACAAGTCAGTAAGCATTTACTAAACAACAATTTATTAAGCATCCATGATGTGCCAGGGCCTGTATTAAGCACCAAAGATACGACGAAAGGCAAAAAACCCCCACAAAAACAACAACAACAAAAAAAAAACAGCCCCTGCTCTTAGGAAGCTCACAGTCTAATTGGGGAGGTGACATGCAAACATCTATGTACAAGCCAGATGTACACAGGATTACATGGAGATCAGCACCAGAGGGAAGGCACAACCATGAAGGGGGATCAGGAAATGGTTCATGCAGAAGGTGGGATTTTAGCTGAGACTTGAAGAAAGTCAGGGAGAGAATTCCAGGAATATATTCAAAATCAAATTGAAAATTACCTTTTACAAAAATGGAGAAGGGTAGACATAAGGTTATACCTGCCTGGTTTTTTGGTTTTTGTTTTAGGGTGAGTATTTTTGGCTGCCTTTGGTTACTGATGTTTCTCCTTTTGCCCCTGGGTTTCCCCTCAAAGGCAGGACCCCTGAATGCTGCTCCATATTGAAGACACATTATGAGTGTCAGTCATCATCCAGTCCAAACCATAATTCACAAGCCCCAACCAATGTGATTCTTTTACCAGCCTACCAGAGGAGATATTAGCTGAAAGCAAAATATGTTTTCTGAAATAGCATAGTAATATTAATGACAAGAATCCTTGTCCCATATCCAGGGAGTATAACTGAATATTCATTGAAGGCAGAAAGACACATGAAAAGGATGTTCTCATTATTTTGTGGTGAGTACCATTTTGATTTAAGTAGAGGGTAAATACAAGGTTGGGATACCCAAAGGAGAATTTGAAAATGCCAGAAACATGGGATCTCAAGTGGGTACCAGCATTTATTTGCCTTAAATAAGATTTTACTTCCCATTCAAGTGATTGTCACAGAGGAAAGAGACATGACCACTCTGCCAAAGGACAAGAAATAAGCTTAAAAATAAACTCGAGTCTTTCAAAAAACTTGAGCATTATAATTTATATATATATTATATAATATGTAATGATATGTTTACTTTATAATATATAATTATATGTTTATGTTATGTTTATATTATATAATTATACAATATATTATAATATATAATTATATATAAATATAATTTAACTTATAATTTAACATTGAAATAAATCAATTAAGCTTGATTTTGTGCTTACTTGTTACCCTCATTTTCCAAATGCCTGTACCTTCAACTCACACACATCTGTATCCATGGATAACAGAAGCTGGATATCTCTCTACAGCTAATGTTCAATTTTTTGCACATTCTTCTGAAAAATGTCAAAAATTTCAGGGGAAAAGTCAGACCTTCTTCAATTTGTTTCAGACCCTCTTTGCTACTGGCCCAGTTGATCTGAAGAAGATTTTGGGGTTTAAGTGGATTGTAAGCTTGACATGAATCAATTCTCTTCTGTAGTAATCAAGAACACAAGTGTGATCTTAGGCTACTTTTAAGGGAATCACAGCATTTAGAAATAAGGAGGTGAGAGTAGTGTTGTACTCAGCTCCAGGCAGACCAATATGGTTGGAATTGAGGTACCATAGTTTAGGAAAGATGTTGAAAAATTGGGGAGTGTCCAAAGGAGGACACCAAGATGGTGAAGGGATTTGGTCGTGCCATTTGAACATTGATTAAAAGGAACTTGGGATGATTAGCTTGAGGAAGAGAAGCCTAGAGGAGACCAGGGATCCATCTTCATGCCTCTGAAGGGTTGACACCCAGAATGGGGATCAGGCTTGTTCTTCCTAGAGGGTAGAACTAGGAGCCCTGGGGAGAGCTTGCAAAGAGCCCAATTTCAGCTTTGTGGAAGGAAAAGCTTCTTGGCAATGAGAGCTGTCCAGCGTTTGGGTGGCCTCCCTCAGGAGGTGGTGATCTTCCTCATTGTATCCACTGAGATCGAAACTTTCTTGACGTGGGTGTTGTAGAAGGGATTCTTACTGAGAGTTGGATGTAGTCGATGGCTCTGAGGTTCATTGATTTTGCGTAACTCTATTGCTAATTTGCACACCTGGGTGAAAGTGAATGCTGCCTCTGAACTGTCGATGCCACATTTTGAACACTGAATTAGTCGATGTGTATACATGTGTGTATACATATGTACGCACATGCACATGCATATGTGTGTGCCAGAAGGTCTTTTCCCAGTTGCCCTAATGCCATCCCCTCTAAGGTTATCTTCCCTCTAGTCTCTGCTTATTTTTTATGTTCTGATTTGTCTGTAGTCTTTCCCATTAGAATGTAAGCATCTTGAGGGCAGGGACTCTTTTTGCTTTTCCTTTTTATCCTTAGCACAATGTCTACGCATAGTAGATGCCTGATAAAGGATTGGAGATTGATTGATTGACTGACTGATGCAGCAGTCAGGCACTTCCCCTTGGCTCGTCAAGCCAGTGGATTCCATCGAAGCCCCTCCATTTAACTCCCTGCCTCATATCTGGGTCTTGCCGCAGGTGCTGATCTACAGTGGACAGCTTGATATCATAGTGGCGGCGTCCCTCACCGAACGTTCCCTGATGGTCACAAACTGGAAAGGACTCCGTGATTACAAGAAGGTGGACAAAAAAGTTTGGAGGGTGCACAGCTCTGATGTGGAAGTGGCTGGTTACGTACGGCAAGTTGGAGATTTTCACCAGGTATAAAAATAACAGGTGGTGGGGAGGGGAAAAGACTCCCAGAACATCTTTTGTTGTTACATTCTTTCAGTTGTATCTGACTCTTCATGACCCCATTTGGGGTTTCCTTGGCGGAGACACTGGAGTGGTTGGCCATGTCCTTCTCCAGCTCATTCTCCTGAAGATGAGGAAACTGAGGCAAACAGGGTTGAGTGACTTGTCCAGGGATACACAGCTAGTAAATGTCTGAAGCCAGATTTGAACTCAGGTCTTCCTGACTCCAGGTGTGGCTCTCTATCAACTATGCCACCTAGCTTGCCACCTCCCCTCCACTATGCCCCAAATATCTAGCAGCTCTTCCAAAGCCGGAGGGTCATTTACTGAATAGAAGTTTCTAGGTTTCCCCTGCTGCAGACACGATCTTAACAATGAGGCAGAATGTGGGAAGGAGGCATTTGAAATTCTCTGCTTCACTAGTGCCCTCCTGATGTCTGATTGCAGAGTTAAGGTGACCCTGGAATCTTGAAGGCTATCACATTAAAGTACAGGGGCTGGCAGTTCTTGCTGAACTGGAAAGACTCCAAAGCATGAACTTCTGGGTGGGTGGTGTGATTTTATTCAAAGAGCAGGCTAGCCAAGTTTGGAAAGCCTCATCCCTGAGATGGCCAGACAGAGGGATGGATATTTTGGCTTCTGAAAACCCTTCTGCTGAGTTCTAGGAGAGCTGCCATTTTCGTTGGTGGAAGGAGTACCCGTGTTGATTAAATTATAGATCCTTAAGGTATTGAGGTACGTTTAGCCAAGAGTACTGATTTTTTTTTAAATGAAGACATTCCCTTGGTTACATGAATGTAATCAAATATTTATGTGCTATAAAATCCAATGATTACAATGAATACGGGGAAGCATATATGAACTGATGCCATGGGAAGTAAACAGAGCCAAGAAAACAATGTATGCGATAATTACAATGATGTAGATGGAAAGAGCAGTAATCACAAAACTATCCCAAATGTGGTGAAATCACAAAGCACAGGCTTGGCCCCTGAGAAGTGAGAAGAGATGTGAGAAGCCTCCTCCCCACGTTCCTTGGAGAGGTGAGGATGGGAGGAGTCGATAGATATGGAATGAGGCATACAATGTCAGGATTGTTTTTTTTTTTTGAGGGGGGAATGTGTTGATTGGCTTTGCCAAATTTTTTTTTCTCTTTTTCATTGAAAAAAAAATTCTTTGTTGTAAGGGATGACTTTGAGGGAGGGGGTCAAGGGAGAAAGATAGGGAAATTTAAGCAATGTAAAAACAAAAGGACATTAAAATTGATTTTTAAAAAAATGAAAAAGTCTCTTGGATAGGCTAGAAATTTTTTTTTAATGTTGTTGATACTGGGTTTTTCTATCACCTTGATTTCCCAATATATCCCTCCCCCTCCTCCTCCCAGAGAGCCATTCCTTATAACAAATTATAAAAAAGAAAAAAGCAGTTCATTGTCAACTATGTTCAACAGTGTATACAGTGTTCCACACTCATGGTTCCCAAGCAGAGAGGGACATTTTATCATATCTGTTTTTGGGGGCCAACATTGGTCATTATAATTTTATTACAATGGCTTGGTCACTATAATATTCAGTTTTGATTTTTTTTTTTAACCTTCACATTCAGGTCCTCTTTTTGTCGACTTCATTTTGCATCAGTCCACAGAAATCTTCCCCCATACTTTTCCACATTTTTCCTATTGACCATTTCTTATACCTCTGTCAAAGTCCATCACCTTTGTGAGCCACTGGTGATTTGGGTGCCTAATCTTTGACCTAACTCGTTTGTGACAGGCCTGCTTTTTTGAAGCTTCAGAACATGACTTGTGTTGCAAAAATTTTGTACCAGGTAGCAGTCAGCGAAGACCCATTCATGGAGCAGCCACTAGGTATGAGGCCAGAAATTAGCAAAAGAAGGTTAGCCACATCAGAGAGCTAAGCTTGAAATCAGGAAGACCAGGGTTCAAATCTTTCCTCTGTGTCATACTAGCTACATGACCTTGGCCAAGTCATCTCACTTCTCCAGGCATTAATTTCCTTATCTGTTATATAAGGAGGCTTTAGAGGTTCCCTTCAGCTGTCAATCTATGGTATAAGTTGGGAAACGTGAATGTATTTGGTGGTACACGGCTAGCTGTATCCATGTGTTGTTTGAGCCTATACACATATAGGCTGAGACAGTACATTGTACTTATTAGGTGCTTAATACATGTTTTTGACCTGACCGTATTTAACCTTATCTCCAGATCCTATTTTGAGATGGAGAAGGACCCTGTTGAGCTCAGGAAGGGCAAGTGTTAAATCCATCAGGACACTCAGAAGGTCCTCCAAATCATGGCATGCCTCTGTCCACGATTCTCAATGAGCTCTTAAGACACAGTATATCCAATAAATATTTATTAGGGGCAAGAACAATATTAGTTTGGGGGAGGGGTATAAAGGCAAAAAAAAAAACCCATAGTCCCCTACCCTCAGGGAGCTTCCTAAGCTATACTAGCAGAAATAAGATAAACAGGTAGACGACTATAGCTGCAAGTTGCAATCCTGTGCGCACAGAGGTGTGTGAGAGAGTAAGGAGGAAAAGATCGTTAATGAGTAAGGGGAGTCAAGGAAGAAAGTTTTCATAGAGGAGGCAGCCTCCACACTGCACTTTAGAGGAAGGAGATGGCAATAGGAGGTGGGGAGGCACATAACACTGACACAGTTAAGAAAATGCAGAGAATATACTGACTGATTTAGAGACGGAGAGAGGACTGGCAACTGGGAGGGATCAGGAAAGGCCTCACGTAGGAGGTGGCCCTGGAGGCCGGCGGAAATCCGTTCCGGACGCGGCAGGCCCGCAGCTGCCGCCGCCACCTGTTATCAGCAGCCTTGCCCCGGTGTCGACGGAGATCTCAGCTGTGTGGCATTTGCTGGGGCGGGCGCCTGGCTTTTTGTCTGAACCCACCTGGCAGGCCAGACTGCCTCTCCCGAGAGATATCACGCCCCAGAGGTGGAAAAGGCAACTTGGCTTCCAGATATGGTGTCCAATATCTGCTGAGGCCCCTTGATCCTCCTTGAGAAGGCAGAACCCATCTGGGGACGAAGCAGCGCTTTTCTGTCTGCCGAAAGGGGTGACAAAAGGAGGGAGAGCCACATGTGTTAATGCTGGGGAGGATTTCACCTGACAGTAAGGGATCTGCATTTTATATAGGTGATTTTCAAATGTTGGCCGAGATCCTTCTCCCTTACTGCTCCAATATTGCGAGTGGTGGGGGCTGGAGACGAGGGGAGCACAGGAAAAAAACATGCAGTAACAAAGGCATTCTCTGTGAAGCTCGGTTCTTGGAACACGGCACAAATGTCAAGCGTCTAATAATGAAAAAAACAAACCTCGACCGGAGACCTGCCTTTCAGCATTTGTTGCATAAAACAGAAGCGTGTGTCTCTGTTTGCCAAGAAAGAAAGCTTGCTTACTGCCAAGCACCACAGGTCTTCATTTTATGACTGAAACCAAAGTCGACCTGTCTCTGGGTGGGGGCCCACATTGTCCTCTAACAAGGATGACAGCCTCCCACTTTCAGGGAGGCCCCAGCAGGCTTCTTGGGAAACTGATTCCCATTACATTCATAACCAGAAAATGACCATGGACTTGCCTACGGGTCCAGCCTGGCTCTTAGAAATCAGACAAAGGGAATGCTGGGGAAGTCTCAGTTGCCCCTCCCCCTTTATAGTTTCTGTACTGGGGTTTCGAGATCCCAGAATCATAGATGCCAGGACTGGAAGAAGCTTTAGAGGCTGTACTCAGACAAGTTATCTCCTTTCCATCCTGACTGACAATTGTTTCCCTGGACTTCACGAGGACCTCACTACCTCATTCCCCTTTGGGGTGACTCTCATTGCCAGAGAAATTTTCCTTCTACCCAGTCAGCAACTTTCTTTGCCTGTGAGTTTTTTGTGTTTGTCTCTTGTAAAGCTTGGCAGTTAACTAGCTGTGTGACCTTAAGCAAGTTACCTTCTGTCTCTTGGTCTCGATTTCCTCTTCTTTTGGATGAGCTGAATGAACATAATGATTGCTGTGCTCCTGCTATAAAACTCCACAATTCTGCAGTTTCATACTTTAGGGGTCCATGATTGCACTGGTGTCCCCCCCCCACAACAGATAGCACAGCCCCAGTCTCGAGGGTGGTCATAGCGCAAAAATGCATCTTCCTGCAGCCAACCTGATAATAAATTTCTCTGAACCTTGCTAGCCTGGTCTTTGGAAAACAGACATGTGGTCTGTTATCCGGAAAACAAATAGAGTGCCTTCCTGCAGACATTTAAATCAGGTAGAACCTGCTGAGATGTTTGTTCAGAATGGAAGCTCTTTGCAGGGAGGGATTCATATGTGTGTGTTCATATTCCCAGCCCCTTTGACACAGTTGGTGCCTAATAAATTCTTATCATTTGTTTGATTGCCTGATTGATGGAGGGGAAAGAACAGTAGCTCAGGAGTCAGATCTGATTTCAAATCCCAGCCCTAGCACTTACAGCAGATCATTGCCCCCCTCCTCAGTTTCTTCAGCTCTCTGCCCATGTGGACGTCAAAGACCTGAGGTCACCTCCTCACAATGATGTCCACAGTGGGACACGTTGACATCAGATGAGCCCATGATCAAGACCTAGAGGCCAGTCCCAACAGCCCCACGGCATTTTTAGCCATGTAGCCCAGGACAATTCACTTCACCTCTCCATTTTCCCCCATTGAAAAATGGGGAAGAATAGGACTTGGTCATCTTGAGGATCAGGTGAAATGATCTATCTGGAAGCAGCAGAAGCCCCCTGAGGGCAGGGATTGTTTCATTTTCATCTTCCTGTCTTCAGAGCCTTGCGCAGTCCCTTGATAAATGCGTGTTGTTGTGAATGGGCCATTCCCCAAGTCTGGAAGGTGCCCCCTTTCTTACCGCTGCCTCATGGCGTCTTGGTGGTCCTTAAAGGTGCAGCCCAAGCATCTCCTTCTGCATGAAG